ATTATTGTTATTATTAAGATCTTATTACATATGTCAAAATTAAAGTTAGATGATTTCCCCAAGGTCATTGAATTAACATGGGGTAGGTCATTTGACACTGCATCCTGAACTTTTTCAACTACATATAACATATTGTTGCTTCTTTTGTGAGTGACTAATTGTATACATATACTCTATATACCTGAACATGAAGGTAATGGGTAAGAGACAGAGTAATTAGGACCCTAAACCACAGACAATGAGAATTAAGAGTCAGAATAAAAAAGATCTTTGTGGGTTTTGGCAGGCGACATTGAAATTTTGGAGTATTAACCAAGAAAGCTATTGGGCTAGGGAGTGTGATAAATAGTACCAAGATCTAATTAATTAAGTTAAGACAGATTTCAGTCTTCACTATCTTGGCACAAATATATTATCCCTGATGAGATGTTCTCTGTGGTCCTAGGGGATAAGTGGTAAAAACTGTTGTTGTTGTTAGTTGCCCTTCTCCGACTCAAGGTGACGTTATGTATAACGGAATGAAACATTGCCTGATCCTACGCCATTCTCACAATCTTTGGTATATTTGAGCAGCCACCAGGTCAATCCATCTCCTGTTTTTTCTCATTTTTGCTGACCCTCTACTTTACCAAACATGATGTCTTTTTCTAGATATTGGTCTTTCCTGATGACGTGACAAAAGTAAGCAAAACGAAGTCTCACCATAGGAGACTAATTTCCACTTAGTTAAAAGAATAATTTCTGACCCAACCATTCCAAGATATAAGGGATACCTTAGAAAAGGTAATATTCAAAACTCATACTCATACTTAGTGCTCAAAGCTCCTGTCTGGAAGAAAGAAAATTTAGCTGAGATGTGTGTCTATGTGAGATTTGTTGTCCTGCTTTGAGGAGGAGAGAGATAGCTATGTTCCTCAGACCCTAGCTACAGGCAGGAACTCAAAGCCTAAATGAATGTAGCCATTAGATACATTGAGGAGTCTGCCTTTAGTCCTATGATGTGGACTGGCTAGAACCTAGCTAAAAGCAAATGCTGGGATACAGACTGCCGTGTTGATCAACTATCATCTGCTAGAAAACTTCTACGACAATGCTCCTCAAGCGTCAGTGTGCATATGAATCACCCAAGGATCGTGGTAAAATTCTGATGCAGTAGGTTTGGGGTAGGGGCTGAGATTCAACTTTTCTAACAAAATCTCAGGGGATGCTGATGCTACACTTTGAGTATTAAGGTTCTACAGAATTTCCTCTAGAGCAGCAGTTCTCAGACTGTGATTCTCAGATCAGCATCAACAGCAGCATCTGGGAAGTTGTAGAAATGCAAATTCTCAGGCCCTGCCCAGACCTACTTAATGGCTGGGGCCCAACCATCTGTAGTTTAGCAGGCCCTTGAGGTGATTCTGATGCGTGCTAACATCTGAGAACCACTGATTTAGAGAAGTATTTATCTAGTCTTAATGCAATCACTTGGGAAGCTTTAAAAAAATGCAAACTACTAGCTTTGAGCCAAGCCCAATTAAATTAGAATCTCTGGTTATGGAAACCTTCATTATGGATATTTTAAAAAATCTCACCAGGTGATCACATTGTGCAACCAGATTTGAGGACCACTACCCTACAGAGTAGCTATGAGTCAGAATTGACTCGACGGCAACAGGTTTACAGGTTTTTTTTTTAACCCTAGAGAACTGGAGCCCTGGTGTGTGAAGTGGTTAAGAGCTTAGCTGCTAACCAAAAGATTGGCAGTTTGAATCCACCAGCTGCTCCTTGGAAACCCTGTGGGGGAGTTCTACTCTGCCCTATAGGGTCACTATGACTTGGAGACGACAGCAGTGGGTTTCTCAGTTTTTTACCCTAGAGAGGAAGTCCCTGGGTGGTGCAGACAGTTAATGAGCTCAGCTGCTAATCAAAAGGTTGGAGGTTTGAATACACCCAAAGTCACCTTGGAAGAAAGGCCTGTCACTCTACTTCCCCAAAATCAGCCTTTGAAAACCCTATGGAGGACAGTTCTACTCTGACCCACGTGGGGTTGCCATGAGTTGGTATTGACTTGAGGGCAACTGGTTTACTGGTTATGCTAGAGAGGGTCCCACTTACTTCTTGAGTCTTTGCCAGCAGATATTTGGTAGAGGTGGGGGTATCTGGGTTTGCTGGGCCAGTGGCTCTCCTCTTCCTCATTGTTGCTTTGCACCTGTAACCAAGATACCAGTGGACAGAATCAGAGCCAGTTTGAGGGAAGCAAGGACAGGCACAGGACGGCAGGCAGCTGTAGGGGAAGGAGGCTAAGGGTACTTGAAGGACTTGGTCTCTTCTGTTGTGGCAGGGACCTAAGTAGTAAGGAAGGCAGGAGCTGAAGTACAGCCCTACATTCAAGGAGAAGTGACACAAATGCAAATTATATTGCAAATAATCACAGTTTCTCTTTTTGGCAAGGATTTTTATAAGAGACCCCAGCACTTGATGGCAGTGCCTTCTATTCATGGACCCATGCAAGAGGAGTCCTGACTTTTAGAGGGCCCATAGGGTAAGAGTTGATGGAACTAGGGAAAGTGCCCACCTGGATCCCATGTTTCCCCTTCTAGATCATGCTCTGGTTACACAGAATACCAAAATGTGCTGCCCACATGGCCTTCACTGGGTTTACCTGGTGTCTCGTCTCCTAAGGGCAGACCTGTCCACTAGTGTAAGCATACACCCCTAGGCCCGAGTGATGGCCAGTGAACGGCTGTTGGTGGGGTAGAGGGGTGTGGTGTTTGAATGTGCAGGCTCTGTGTCCACACGTGTGTGCAAGGCCCCTGATGGTGCATGATAGATTTGGGTGTGGGAAGAGAAGAGGGCAGGCCAGGTCTGGGAAATGGCTCTGCCCACACTGCCATGACATGAACAGAGGTCCTACGAATCTGAGAATTCTAAATTTAAACCTGGACTTTCAGGTCTTTATGTGCACATATATGTTAAGGTCGGAGAGAACATATTTCATTTAAAAGTGTTTAGTTTTGTATAAAACTGGCCTCCATTTGTACTCTTGTGCAGAACCCACAAATGATAGAGGCAGGCATGGTTGATGCGAACCTTCAGTGAAGATCAAATTGGATGAGGAATTAGAAAACTAGCTTTGGAAGCCTGGGCTGTCTTAAGAATCAGAGTCCCTGTCTCTTTCTCCCTATAGATTAACCCACTCTCAAAGATTTCTTAGTTGCATCGAAGAAGTGATATGTCTGGCAAGGACAGAAAGCCTGGATTCCCTTTGCTCCAGGGTCCTAACCCTTCATCTTCTGGGCAAGAATCCAGGGCTTTTCTCTGCCATCCTCTTACTCATCTCCAACCCACTCACCTCCTCCAGGTCGAAAGAGTCCTGCAATTGCTGGGTTAGAGATCGGTGAAGGTCTGGTGTGTCTGGGCTCTGCCTCCATTTCTGCTGAATGATGGACAGGTCCAATGACTTCACTTTCCTGTCATCCCTGACCATGAGATTCTTCTGAAACAGGCTCTTTCTTGCTTTGTTCTTTCTTTTCCAGAAAGTTTCATCCTTGGCTGAATGGACCTCCTCATTGGTGGTCTGTAGACCCCATAGCTCTTTCCTTACCTGTTCAGGGTCTCTACTCCACTCTAGATATGCTCTGGGCAGAGAATGTGTGTAACATGATGCCTCAAGGTTAGAATCCAGAGTTTGTGATGCTGTGAGCACTGTGGGCAGCTTTGTATCCCTGATGAAGGGCACAGGCTCTTTCTGTGGGCCTGGCCCAAACTCAGGGTCTTCCTGAAGTACCAGCTTCTCTCCTCTCACTCTGTCCATCACTTCCCACACCACTTGGTCCAAACTGTTCCTTCTGGGGGAATTGTGAGGTGGTGATAGCCTATCTTTGGGGCATGTGTACAGGCACATCTTGGAGATGGCTTTCCGGAGACGTTCTCTGGGTGAGTGGGGTTCAGGGTCTGGGGCCATAATCCTAATAAATGGCACATCAGTTGGGTTGTAATTCCAGAACATGTTGGATGGTGTGAACTTTTGGACAGGTGTCTTGGATACATAAGAGTAGAGACAGAAGAAGGCATCGGCAGTGACAGCCAGTGTTTGCACTTGCTTAAACCTGCCTGGGTACAAGGGTTGAAGGTGGTCAGTCTGGGGACCATCAGCAAATTATCTCTTAAAATTTTCCCTTCAGTAGCCCTCCTAAGCTCAAAATTCCAAGAGAAGCTGTCAATTTCCCCACTAGGGTCTCTACCATCTAGACATCTGACACCCAGGGTCCCATTTCTTGACTTTTGGATATGAATCCCAAGTAGATACTTTCTTTTAGTCCCCAAATTAATTCTATATGGGATGAAAAATTTTTCTTTCTATGTCTTTTATTTAGATGACAAATACGACAATGTTTTAGATGACAAATACACAAGGGGAAAAACCAACATCATTTTCCTGGACAGTGACAAGGACTGAGAGCTGTAAAAGGCTCCTTGATGACAACAAATTTTAAAGATAACAGTTACTGGGCAATGGGCTGGGTAGAGAAATTTAGATGGATTACATCAGTTCTGGAGTCCCTGGGTAATGCAAACGGTTAAAGTACTTGGCTGCTAACAGAAAGATTGGTAGTTCAAGTTCGCCCAGAGGTACCTCAGAAGAAAGTCCTGGTGATGTACTTTAAAAAATTCAGCCATTGAAAACCCTACAGAGCACAGTTCTATTCTGACACACATAGGGTCATCACAAGTTGAAATTGACTGGATGACAACTGGTAAGATGGTAAGCAATAACAGTTCTATGAGACCGTAGCTTCTCAAAGTGTGCTCCATAGTCCAGTAGCATTGGTATCACCTGGGAGCTTGTTACAAATGCAGAATCTCAGACTGCATCTCAATCATTCTAAAAATATCCCTTGATGATTCATATGTACATACATGTTTAGGAAATACTGTAATAAACCATAACCAAAAAAACCAAACCCACTGCTGTCAAGTCAATTACAACTCATAGCGACCTTATAGGACAGAGTGGAACTTCCCCATCAGGTTTCCCAGGCTGTAAAGCTCTATGGAAGCAGACTGCCATATTGTTCTCTTGCGGAGCGGCTAGTGGGTTCCAACCAACGACTTTTTGGTTAGCACCAACTTTTTGGTTTAACCATTGCGCCACCAGGGCTCCTTGTAATAAACCATAGGTCCACTAAAATTGTAAGTTTCCTAGAGGCAAGAACCATGTTTCTCTGGTCTACCTGCAGTTCTTCCAGAATCTATCACCTAATTATGCAACTGGCACATAAAATAATTTCAATACATCTTTATCAAACTTCAGTGTGCATAAAAATTATCTAGAATACATGTAAAAATATTACAACCCAGTCCTTGATTCAGTAGATTGAACACAGGAGTCTACTTTTACTAAGCCTTTAAGGTGAATCTAGTGCAAAGAATCTGAAACAACACTGTCAGAAATACCGTCATGTTGGGGGTGGGGCATAATATAATTTAAAATATATTCTAATACATAGAATCAAATGGAATCTTCTTTTCTACATAAGGGTAGGCAGTCCTCCCCTATCTTTCCTTGGTGTGGAATTGGGAAAACTTAAATCATTGTTTCCCTAGGTGTGGTCTGAGGATTGCACATAAGAATCATCTGAGTGCTTGTTTAAAGTAAATATTCCTGAGCCCTTCCCTCTCTGGAAGTAAAGCCTATGAATATAAATGCTTTATAAACTCCTTGGATAACTTAACATATTTACCCTTGAGAACCACTGCCCTAAGTGGAAGTGATTTTAACTTAGTGACTATAAATGGGGAACATTCTATCATTCCAACTGAGAAAAAAACAAAACAAAACAGGAATAAAATTTAGGGAGATTGTGTTGATTTGATTCAGTTAAAGGAGAGAAGGCCTAAGGAAAGCAGTAGTGATCTGAGGCCTCTTGAAGATTGTTTCTAGAAAGAAGCAGAACCCAAAGGTATCCATCTTCACTGAAGACAAAATACAAGGAAACAGACCCAAGAGACAATGGGTCGAGTGTAACAAACAAGAGAGTGTAAGATTTGGAGATACTGAGCCCTGCTGGAGTCCCTGGGTGGTGCAAACAGTTAATGCACTCAGCTGCTAACGGAAAGTTTGGAAGTTCAAGTCAACCCGGACGCACCTCAGAAGAAAAGCCTGGTGATCTACTTCTGAAGAACCAGCCATTGAAAACCCTATGGAGCACAGTTTGACTCTGACACATATGGGGTTGCCATGAGTTGGAAATGACTCGACAGCACTGGTTCTGGTGAGGCTAGGGGAGAAGTAGATCCTACATAACACTCACTGGCCAGCATTAGGCAGGGGTCCTCCATCTCAATCCTCTGCACCTGGGCCTTCAGGAAGAGCTGGAAATCAATGCCCTTGGCCTTCGAGGGGGTGGTGAAAAATCGGGCTGGGATCCGAGAAGTGTCTTTGTGGTCCTCGTGACCAAAACCCAGACTGAAGAGGACATCTTCTGCATCTTCTTGTACCTTGTCCAGAATCTCTGAGATGCTAAAAAAAGATGGAGTTTGGTAAATAGGCGACAACCTTGAGACACAGAGTGATCCAGAGTACCTAATAAAAGTGTAAGGAGACAGATTCCTTTCTGGTCATTTCTCTATTCTTTTCTTTGAGAAAAGTTTTAACTTCTCAGAACCTAAATTGTCTCTCTGCAATATGAGGATTACACTCCATCCCTGGTTATAAAAACTGAATGAGATTATAGCATATTACTTTGAACAACTTACCACCAATGAATGAAAATATGAGAAGGGTTTGAAAAAGAAAAAACAGTATACATGTGAAGAAATGTCATGGTTGCCGTTATTTATTAACCAGTCAGTTCTTGTTTGCACACACCGTGATACGTCTGGCTTTTGCCAAGTGTTTTGCAACTTTCCAATGGACTTGTCCCAGTGGGTGTGTAGAACAATTGGTCAATGAGTGTATAAGGAACATAAAACTCATTTTATGCTTGCCCTGAGGTAATAATTAATCAACATAGGTATGTTCAAAACCTGATTTTAAGAGATAGGCCCCTTTGTAGCACATTTTTCAGGACAGAATCCCGTGTTGCAGAGGAACAAGCTCTCTCTCTTGCTATGGCACTAACCTGTGTCTACATCCTGATCTGAGCACCAAGCTGGGAGATGCTAGTGCTCAATAACCATGAATTACAGACAACTATGGGGGCAGGAAGAGCTGTGGCTGATTTGAGGCTTTGAATATCACTGTCCCACTCTTCAGAGAAAGTGCTGGGCTTTTTGAGCCAAATAGAGACCATCCTGTTTAATTAATAGCTGGACAGTCAGGATCCCTGGCTCTACTCTTGTGCTTGCCACCAAATTGCACAAAATTACCCTATCTGTAAGTTGTTGGCATTGGACTGGATCAGTGGTTCTCAACGATGGCTACACATTAGAATCACTTCAGGGCAGAGGGAGTGGTCTTTAAAAAATATGGATAGCTGAGTCCCCCTCCAGAGATTATGCTTTAATTGATCTGGGGTATAGCCAGGGCTAAGACTCAGTAAGGATAAATCACTAAATATGGCTATTAAGTTTCAAACCCAAGTCTCAAGATCAAACCTTGACTCTAAATCCTGGACACTTTTCATTATACCACACTGGTTTTTATTATTTTCCATCTTACTTTAAAGTTATTTGTGTGTATATTTTGTCCACCCTATCAGATCAAACGATGCATTGCATTGGGCAAATCTGCTGCAAAAGACCTCTTTAAAGTGTTAAAAAACAAAGATGTCACTTTAAGGACTAAGGTGCATCTGACCCAAGCCATGCTGTTTTCTATTGCCTCATCTGTGTGTGAAAGCTGGACAATGAACAAAGAAGACGGAAGAAGAACTGACACCTTTGAATTAGGGTGTTGGTGAAGAATATTGACTATACCACAGACTGCCAAAAGAAGGAAAAAATCTGTCTTGGAAGAAGTACAGCCAGAATACTTCTTAGCAGAAAAGATGGCAAGACTTCATCTCACATAATTTGGACAGGTTATCAGGAGGGACAAGTCCCTGGAGAAGGACCTTATGCTTGGTAAAGTAGAGGGTCAGCGAGAAAGAGGAAGACCCTCAAGGAGATTGATTAACACAGTGGCTGCAACAATGGGCTCAAGCATAACAACAATTATGAAGATGGCACAGGACCAGGCAGTGTTTCATTCTGTTGTACATAGGGTGGCGATGAGTCAGAAAGGACTCGATGGCACCTAATAACAACAACATCAGATTGTTGAGTTCCTGGGGCCAGCTCTTTGTCTGCTTCATCTTTTCAAATTACATACAGTTATTGTCTGGCCTACATCAGGGTACCCAAAATTGCTTGAATGTGAATATTTTATTGCTCCACTCAATTAAGAAATCAGTCAATTAATCAACATTGTTTATTAAGTACCTACTATGAGTTCAGGAACAGCCTAGGTACCAATACTACACCTCCTGGGCTACAAGGCTCCATGGAAAGAGACACTTGCATTTTATACATAGCATCCATCTCTGAGAAGTGGATTTTTCTGCATTCCCACTATTCTTGAAGTAAATATGGTCACACTTCTCAAGGGTGTGGCTACACAAAAGGCTCAAATAAGATATCCGAGAAAAAATAGGCAATGGCTCTAGGTTGCATTCTCTTCTGCCGTGCTCCTTCCCCATCCTCCCACCCCTGCAAATCTTAGTACCTACCTGGAACTAGTCTTATTGGTTCCACCAGTCATGCTGCTGGAGGCCAAACTGCAGCCAAGATCGAGTAGTTGGCAAGGCCGGGCTGTCTCCAGGAAACTCCTGCATGGATCAGAACTGATGTTACACAAATCTTGTAGCTGGTCAGCACCTTGGCTTCAAGGCATCCTCTGCTGGGCATATTCACCCCCTGATGGATACCTTCACCCTCTGCTGAGGAAACTCAGTCTCTGCCTTCATTCCTAGTTGGAAAATCTAGCTCTCTACTTAGAGTATTTAGCTCTTAGTTTCTTATGTCTTTACCCCTGATACCTACTGCAGTTCACTGGCTCCTGAAGAAGTAATCCGGCACTGGTTGAACCTAACACTTACCTGGAGAAGGGTTTGCCATTGGCGGCCAGCAGTGTGGCTGAACAAGGAACAGAAAGGCAATGAGTGAGTTAGATGGAAAAATGGTCTCTGTCACTACTACAGACTAGCCGGACTCTATGAAATTTGCTCTTTTTGAAGGAATCTCAAAATCACCAAGCACAGCCCTGGAAAGACTCGGGTATGGCAGAGAACAGCTGGCTGTGGGCCTCTGTACTTCTGACCCATGACTGCTGTTCTGGGTAACAGTCCCTGAATGAGGACAGAGTATGCAACCCTACAGGCTAGTGCTCCTTCCTGTCCCACCGTATGAGTCTCTACAAATCCCAGGAGACACTGGCAGGTTGCTGTACCTCATTCCTTTATTCAAGCCCTTATCCTCCTGCAGTGCAATCTCTCTCTTACATCCAGTGCTCTTAGGTGCTTGGGGCTTCCTACACAGAAATAGTTTCAAGACAATCTGGGCAGCAAATGCAATAAGGATTTTAAGTTATCTTCCCAGGGGCCAAAGGAAAGCTCCATTGATGGACCAGCAGGTGTCATGATGGGCTGGTGAGGATGTGTTTCTGGGCACATGACCCTTTCTGTGTTTTACATTAGATCATAATGAGGCTTCTCTTTTCCTACATATAAGACCTACGAATGAGCTGTTTCTTTCAGTAGTTCTTTCCTTCAATCTTATCTTTAATTCATCTAAGTATAACCTCTGCCCTGATAACAACCTCAGAAAGCTGTGCCTCTTACCCTCTGCTCCCAGGGTCAAGTCATCCTCAAAGCTGGTCCCATGGCTGGGGCACCCTATTAAGTAATTGGGCAAAGGTTACAGAAAAGCAGGCTGGGATACACACACTCCACACACACAACTGCATACATGAACATTTACGCATGTCTTTAGCCTTGTATAACCACACAATGACACCAGATATCCGCATGTTTGAAAACTACTCCGACTATAAATATATTGTTTGTTGTGTGCTGTCGAGTTGATTCCAACTCATAGTGACCCTGTGGGACAGAGTAGAACTGCCCAATAGAGTTTCTTAGGCTGTAATCTTTATGGGAACAGATCGCCAAGTCTTTTCTCCTGCAGAGCCGCTGGGTGGTTCGAATGGCTAAACTTTCGGTTAGCAGCTGAGTGCTTAACCATTGTGCTACCAGGATCCTTGACTGCAATATACTACCTCAGAAACCACATTCATGTTTACTTTCAAAAAGAATACACATACACTCACCTGTATCTAACCTGCCTATATATCATATAGTCATGAACACAATCCCCTGTCAAAGAGTAAGCACCTTGGGTATGCACTTACAAACATAAACATACACACATAAACACAAAGTTTTATGAAGTTCTTTTCCTATAGCAGTGGTTGTTAGCTGAGCAACAAATAACAGAAAATGACCTTTAAGTATTGGTGAGCCTGTAGGCTCTGAGTAGGCACTTATGCTTTCATCTGCACCTACTGGGCCTCTTTGTGACCACTAATGTGTATTTTGCAGACAGTTTAAAGGCACTCAGGCATTGTTATGCATGCATGTGCACACTCACACTTACACACACACACACACAGCCATATCACTATCCATGTAGGAAAATAGGAGAAAGAACAGGGACTGTACTCACCATTGTAGATCAACTGTCCTCCTTCCTCAGAAAACCCTTCTTCAGAGTACCTAAGGCCCAAAATGAATCTTAGGTTGAAATGATACCACCTCCCAAGTGACTTTTTTTCCAATATATCACACAGCACATAGCCTCTCAATGGGAGTTAGGAATATTTCATTTGCTTTTATTCTGGAGACAATTAAGAGCAGTTACTTGTCTGGCACAGATTCATAGAGGTTGTCAAGAGGAGGTAGGGCTGATTTTTTAGATCGTCCTAATCACATTGTTTCTCCAGGTAAAATAGAGTAGGAAAAATATAGCCGCAAAGCTGGGGAAATACATTCATAGAAGCAGGCATTCAGGTGCCGTAATTTTCACATCACAAATGTAAATATCAGGGTTTTTCCAAAGTTTAGGGAACTCTACCCACACCCTTCTCCTTTCTGAGCCATGCTCTTGCTGAATATCTTTTCTTTCAGGAAATAACAGAAACTGCATCCTGTTTAGAAACTGTATTTTTAGATTTTTGAGATATGATCTTATCAAATATTTACCATCTCCACCAGAAGAACAAAAGGAAATCAGCATAAATGGTAGGGAGAAACAATTCAGTTTCCAAGCAAGGAAAACTCTGTTCAAAACAGTTGAGTGAAGTAGTCTGTGAAAAAGCTTTGAACCGAACCTGGAGGCCCTGGATTTCAGTCCTGGCTCTTTGCCACTGTTACGTCTTAAAAGAGCCTTCCCTTTATCAGTCTCCTGCTTTCCAGATAATTCTCAGGCTTCTGCAGTATCACTTCATGAAATGTTCACTAATAGGAATGGGTTTACTAATTAAACATACGTGTGGCACAATGATTAAGCGCTTGGCTGATAACCAAAAGGTCGGTGGTTCAAATCCACCAACCGCTCTACGGGAGAAAAGACCTGGTGATCTGCTCCCATAAAGATTTCAGCCTAGGGAGCCCTATGGGACAGTTCTACTCTGTCTTTAAGGTTACTATGAGTCAGAATCAACTCGATGGCATACAACAACAACAGATCTAGTGCTTACATTTTACAAAATAAATCAGTACATGTATAGGCATCTTTTGCTGATATTTTCCATTGAAAATTGAAAAAAAATTAACCATGTATCCTAAAATTGAAATTTTTGCATGTCCTCATGAGAAAATGTACATCTAGCTACTTTATAAAATATGAAATGATACCCAAGCTAAATAATAATCGATAATTCTAATAATACTACTAGAACTATATGTATATATTACTCTTCCTGATACATAATTACGTTAAAAGATATGTGTCATGGATTGAATTGTGTCCCCCAGAAATACGTGTCAACTTGGTCAGACTACGATTCCCAGTATTGTGTGGTTGTCCTCCATTTTGTGATCGTAATTTTTTGTTAAAGAGGATTAGAGTGGGATTGTACCAG